CCTCCTATTTTGCTTGGTGGGGAGGAGCATCTATTATGGTTGTCAACAGGCACTTTGGAGGCTTGGGTTTGAATCTCATCTCTTCTCATGACCTCGAGCCAAATCTGAATGCTTCCAAGTTTCCTTTTCCTAACCTATAAAATATAACTAGCAATAGTCGCAGCCTCACAGGGTTAGTGTTAAGATTCAATGTGTTAATAATGTACATAATCAGCCCAGCTCAGAAGCTAGTTCAAAGTAAGCACCTGATAAATGTTAGTGACTGTTATTATTAGCTGTTACTAGTGCTTACCAATTATTCTACCTGACAGATTGATTAGCGCTAGAGTGCCAATGTTTTATGTTAGTGCTGAAGAAGGAAAGGGTTTGAAGTTCAGTATCTGGATTCATTCCTCTTTTCCTCTTTCATATATTTCTCCTGCATTGTGTCTGTATCCTTCTTTAAGGTGTATGGAGGGAATTTGATCAGTCTAGTTGAAATGTCAAATGTCAATGTCAGACTGGAAGGAACGACAGGTTCTGTAGTTCAAATTCTCTATTGCACCCAAGAGAAAAATAAGGTTGCCTTAAACTACCAAGTCTAACAACAAAAAGGCACTTTCCCCTTCTTGGAAACAAGTGAGATACTTGAATTAGAATTCTTTGTTCAGGGACATTAGGGTTGATGGACACCTACTCCTGGACTCTTTGGAGAAGTAACTCAACCAATGCTATGGCCAAGATTTAGGTGCCAGATCTGCCCTATTTATGTTGAACTGTTGGTATCTCTAATACAGTATTGCCTCAGCATACCCTGGCTGACCCTTCAGCCACTGACTATCTTTGTAAATAAAGCTTTGTTGGTACCCAGCCCAGGCATTTGCTCATTTATTGCTTCAAGCTGATCTTGGGTGATACCATTAGGGTAAGTAGTTTTAATAGTCTGATGGGCTACAAAGGCTTCAAGTATTTTACTAGATAATCCTAAACAAGAGTAATGTGTTGCCCTGATTTGGTGGTCCTACCTGCGAGTGGTGGTAGGGGTGACTCTCTCCTTTGTCTTCTTATTACTCACTTGGGAGACACTGTTATTTGGTATTGAGAACCCTGCCTTCTTTTTCTCTCTTTATTATATAACAGCTATCGATCAAAGCTTGCTACCACTGCGAGTCAGCCCTGAGCCATCTCTCACATCAGACAGAACCTGGCTGGGAATGCTCTTTCGATGATTTGTTTGTGTTCACTGAACTGTGAGCTCTTGGAGGAGAGGAACCATGTACCTAGTCTAGATGACACCTGCCCAACGTTTTAGATACAAGGATGACTGGGTCGTGTTCAAAGACCATATCCTCCAGGAAAAGAAACACCGCAATGAAAAATTATGCTATCAGAGATGGCCTCTGAGAAGTAGGAACCCTTGTCTTCATTTTTGAGGTAGGTAAACACCAACACCCCTGAGTTACAGTACCATCTTTGTTTGAATTTCCAGTGTAGGTATGCTAAGGCATGTTGATCCCACCATGACTTGGTGGTAGCTGAGGTTCTCCACATGTGTAAAGAGCAAAGGAAGCAATGTGGAATGATGGGATCCAGGTGTAGCACAAAGAAGCGACCCCTAGCAAAGGCTTGTGAACAACAGCAACAATCTTCCTTGTTTGTCATGCCAGTGAGAATGTCTTCTAATTGGCCCTTGAGTGACAATACTACTCTAGAGGATCGGGTTTCCACAGCCTGTCATTTTGGGTCAGTTGTCTATGAAATTAGGTTTTTGTTCGGAAGGATAGAATTGGGTGTGAATTGGGTGAATGCAGCGAATCAGAAGGAGAAAAGGGCAAGGAAGAAAAGGCTAGGTTCGGATCTCAAATGAATTTCCTAAACCAGATTTTATTTCACTATTATCCTCTTGGAAAACTTGGTGCCCCTTAGGTATTTGATCTGGATTCCTAACGTAAAGATTAAGGTTAACTGTATTGAAGGAAATACAGAGGAACAATGAAAACCCTACTGTTTGATGCTCTCCCTGATTTCTGGCCAGATAGCTGGCAGACCCATGCATCAAAACAATCAGGTAAGAACAGCAAAAGCCAGAAAATAAATACCTTCCATCTGTCAGTGAGAAGCTGCACTTGGGTCTCCTTGCTCACCATAACCAAACAAACCAAACACACAGCAAAAAGACAGCAGGATTCCAATCAACAGCAAGGGCAGCTTGTTCTGCCTGTGTCCTTCTTTTGCCTGACTATGAGATCAGACAGTTGATTTCTACATACTGATATCTATTATTTCATATCACTGAATACTGGTTTTCAAGACTTTCCTGGAGATCTTATGACACATCCCATGGTTGGCAAGCCAGAGTTGATGAGGAAACCACTCTTCCCCAGGACCAGAAGCAGCATATTGCAAGAAAGCCAGATGGGCAGACCGATGGCTGGCCCACTACTGTGTCTCCTCAGAGCATTTGTCTGTGAGCCCAAATACATACTTACACTTTCTGGGTTCCTTTATAATGTCTCCACTGGAAGCTACTGGAAAGGATCAACTAGTAATCACGCCAGAATCTTAGGAAAATTCCCCACGGGCAGCATGACTACCTTCTAGTGACAGGCTGAGTGTATGTCCTTGTGTAGGACATTATTGTAGATTACCTCAGGCCTATAAAGCCTTTCTATAGTGTGAGGAGAAACTCCAGGGCATTTCTGGATCTGGGCATCCAAATGGACAGATACCACAACACCCCTCCTTGAAAGGTCATCCCCAGAGCAACTAACCCACTGTGAGGTACAGAAAAAGAAAGGATTGTTAGCAAGAAGCACACCCTCCCTCCTGCTTGGAAGATGCTAACTCTCAAATGGCTCCTCAGGAGCTCTTGGCTGCCTTTATTATTTTGCTGTTAAGCACTAGCAGCAGGCTCCTTAGGGGAACAGAAAAAGATGGATTCTCTCGCTCTTTATTAACAGTGAGGAAAGTCTGGGCATCCTGTGGCTTTGTTAATACCCCCTGGGGTATCAGAGCTTTGTGGACTCCCTTGTGGAGGTGGGAAGTGTGTAACAGAGGCACAGGTGTTCCCTGACAGCACAGAATCTCAGCAGAAGGAAGAAAAGCCCACTTCCCCCATGTGAGAAGCAACACAGGTACAAAGCATAAAACCTGCTTGGCCTCCATGCATGAGTTACAAAGATCTGTTAAAGGTTGTAGCAGAGACCTTTACATCCATCCTCGGGTGCATTCAACTAAGATGGTGGAGGGGGTGACTGCAGAAGAGAGCACCCCAGCATGCATTGCAATATCTTCTCCATCCATCCCAGGTTTGCTTTCTGTATGTTCAAGGGAGATCTTACCAGGACAACAGTTTTCATCTAGAATACCACTCAAAACCAAGCAGACGACCAAAGGGCTGGATCTAGCCTTGGATGCCCAGTGGGATATATATATATATATATATTCTCAAAAGAGAAAAGTAGATTGAATTTTTTTGCTATACATGAGAATAATTGAAAAATTGAAAGAGAGCACAACTTCATTGAAATCATTTTGCCACAGGGAGATTTTAAATTTATAAATAACTGTTGATAAAAGTGAGCCCTGGAGCTGGGTTCCATTGTTATCTTTAAGAACATTTTAGGGGGAAAAAAATCCAAGATACAAAGAGCTTAAAAATCATTATTTTTTTTCCAAAAAGCAAATCATCTCATGAAACAAAGTGTACATCCCAGGGCCTCAGTTTAGAAAGACACACAACAGAGAGGGCAGTAACCTATTAGCCATTCATTTTCAAAACAAGACTGAACCAAAACCTGTTTGGAGTGTGACCAAAGCCTTCAGAGCAACAAAATGTCACCTTACAAACTGGTTGGAGAACTGTTCCCCCTATGCTAGTTATGGTATTAATGAGCACCCTGTGTTCATGAACAAGCATAGGCTAACTCTAGATAGACAGATGGAAGGTCTGTTTTAGAAGCACCGTGAATGAGGTGGCCAACCACAGCCACAGTGCCACACAGCCATTTTCTTGGTTGTCTTGGCTTGATGTCTTCTGTACTTTGGGACTATTACTCAGACCTCCCCACTTACACTATCTGTGAAAAAACAAATATGGCACAACATCTCTGTCCTTACTCTTCTGGCCTTATTCTTTCGCTGCATCAGGTGGATGTTTAAGGTGGAAAATGAAACCAAGCATCCTTTGTGGTCTACTTTGGTACCCTACGCATGTCTACAAAAAAGGGTCCACAAAGAGGCACGAAGGGTCAGCTGACTGGGACCTTTGCTATGCATGTGTGTACTCCCATCTGACCCAGCCCCTGATGAGAGTGGCCATATTGTCTTAAGTGTACTGGTGCAACTGTCCCCCCACCCCCACTTTATGACTCTTATCCCAAATGACAAGATAATGCTCTGATGTTCAGCCACTTTCAACACACAGAGTTCAGGATCGACTTGGGACCCGTCACTAACATTTTCATGGACTGGACATGTGATCCCTTAGGAGCTTGTGGGTTTATGATCACAGGTATCACAGCTCACTCAACAGCCGTAGGCAGGAACCACACACCCCCTCTCTCCTATCCCCAGGAGCATGGCTCCCATCCACATAAACCCACATTTGAGTGAGCCTCCTTCACAGGCTAAAAGGAATGCCCACTGGATCTGAAGCATGAATATAAAAGAGCTTCTTGTGACAGTAACATCATCATGGGGAATAAAGCCAGGAGGCAGATTTGCAACTTGTCACATTACCCCGTTATCTCAAATGTGATTATTTTAAAGATGCATTTACACTCTTTCCAGAGTATCTTTTTCTTATACCACATTGTGTTTTTGTTTTGTTTTTTGTTTTTGTTTTCACGGTATCAGAATGAGGTTAAAAATTACAATAGATTAACTGTATCCCTTGAATCACTCTATATTTTTGGTGCATTAAAAAAAGGAGAGAAGTAAAAGCTTTGTTAGTGACTGAAGGGTTAACACAGATTCTAGAAGCAGTTAAAAATAGTATTAGAGGATTATACATACAACAGTTGGAAATTCGTACGCGTTGTATTTTTGTTGTTTTTTGAAAAAAAATGGCAAAACATTTGGCAAATGTAAGCAAATGACATGGGCTATATTGGCTCTCACCGGCTCTGAGCGGGTCAGTCATAGCCAGGTGAGGCCCACAGCTTCCTGAGGTCACACTGTGGGGCTGGTAGGGAGGAGGTGTTGGGGATGGGGAGGTACATGCTCCCCACCCAGCTCTCCCTTAGGCCCTCAGTCTTGAACATGGAAATGGAGCTGGTGAGAGGTGCCAACCACAGACTCCAGTCCGGATCACCCATCAACATCTCTTAGAGAACTCTGGGGGCTTGAACCACACGTAGATTGGGTGAGTGGTCTACACAGTGACCCATATTGCAAAAGTTGGAAAGAGGAGTGGGGCTCCCATCCCTCCAACCTGTACCCCTACCCCCACACCCCACCGGAGGGAGAGGGTGTCTCTAGTGCTTAATCTGGCAATGTTTTCAACTTGAACTTGTGGTTTTAGTAGACTCATTTTTTTTAAATGCCTTTTAAGTTTTGTATGTGTATGCATATCCAGAAATGTCCATCCTCCAAGCTGGCCACAAGTGTTCCCTGAATTTGGCAGTGCCTCTTGCTTGTAGCTGTCGGCATCGTGAAAACCATGAGGTGCCTTCCAAGCGGATTCTGAGCCCAGCAGTGTGCGTGTCCTCCAGGGCCATCCCATTCTCTCTTTATCCTGAATCCTGACTGGCTCTGAGTTTTAGAAAAAGGACAAAGGTCTCATGTGTATGTATGTGTGCATGTGTGTGTGTGTGCGCGTGTGAGTATGCACGTCTGTTTTCAAAACCTTCTTTCTTTTCTTTTTTTTTTTTTTTTTAAGAAAAATGACACTTTGTTCACAAATACAGAGTTCAGCCCTCCTGTAGTCACTATAAAACAGATTCCATGTTTTCACACCACTCATGGTCTTCCAGGTTATAGATAAATTTTGTCCTATGTGTCTGGTGTGCGGGCACAGGGTCCCTCCCCAGATTGTCTAGGGTCAGAGTAGAGGCAAAGAACTCACTGGTGCTCAGCCCGCCCTCGTGGTTTTTGATGTAGCGTTTATAGTTTTTCCGCAGGCACTGCCACGTGGTGGTGTAGAGGATGAAGGCAAAGGACTTGAGCGCGATGGCGATGCTGACATACAAATATCTGTAGACCACGTTGTCGTAGAGGACACAGGCGCCTTGTTCCCCGCAGAAGGTGCTCCAGAACAGACAGGTGGAGTCGATGCCAGCCCCAAAGATGAGAGGTGGGGGGATGAAACCTGTCAGAGGGAAGACATCATTTCAAACTCTGGCTCTGGGAGACAATCCACTGCAGAGATAGTCATTTCTATCCCTGGCTGTGTGCATCTGTTTACAGGACAGCTGGGAGACCACGCTGGATCACTTGGCTTTATAGTGCAGTGGTTCAAACCACAGGGATACAAAACCCAGCACTGCCTTCATTATCCAGACGAAATCATTGAGCCCTCTGTGCCTGACGCTGCCTAAGTTAATATGTGAAAAGTATTTAGAGTAGTATGTATTTACCTGGTAACTGTAAACACAAGGTAATTGACAGCTGCCATTATTCTGAGATGGGATAAAGTCATTCCTGAAGGCATGTTAGTATTAGCCTTCTAGAGGGAATCCCAAAGAGGCATGTGGTTCTGCTCTCTGCCCTTGTGCATGGGGTTTGCAGGGGCTCTGTGTGCTGCCAACTGGAGGGACTGGGGACCAGAAGTAGAATGTGAATGGATTATACTGTGTAAGGACATAAATAGGCATTTATAGTTTGAAATGAGAAATGTGGCAAACATACTCGTGGTTACTATTTGTCCAGCTCTTAAACTGGTGCACATTCTTTTCATGCGGGGCTGGGACCGGATACCCACAGCCATTATCAGAAATGTGAGGCGAGATGAAAACGTTCCCCATTCTTAACTCAAGTCCACAGCAATCTGCCGGTTTATTTGCCTGCTCTCATTCCTTTGCTCAGAGGGTATCTGACCCTCCTAAGACTAACAACCGATAGCAAAAAAACAAACAAACAAACAAACAAAAAAAAACAGTGTTTGTGATATAGCTCAGACATTATGGGTTTTTAAAAATGGGATATTATGTTGTGTAGGTTAGTCTTAAATTCATGGGCTCATGCAAGTCTCCCTTTTCAGCATCTAGTGTAGGTGGATTACAGGTACTTTGGTGCTTGCCATCATCCTGGCCTCAGTCATCAGCATTTTGTGTGCATGTTTATGTGTGCATGTGAAAACCAGAGGTCAGCCGTCAGTGTTGTATGACTGGAACTATCCTTTTTTTTTTTTTTTTTTTTTAAATATGAGACAGGGTTTCTGACTGCCTTTGAACTTGCCAATTTAGTCATGTTGGCTGCCCAGGGACCTCCAGAGACTCTTCTGTTCCTGCTGCTTCTCTGGAATTGGGACTGGGACTGCAATTCTGTGTTTGTTTGTATATTTGTTTTAATGTCAGATTCAGATCCTGCTTACATGGCTAGCACCTTACCAACTGAGATAGCATCCCAGCCCCCGTCATTAGAATTTTGAAAATGAACTAGAAGCTTTAGGTTTGATCCTCAGCACTGAAAATAAAAAAAAAAAAACCCAGGTGGTTCTGTTCTGTTTTGAGGAGCTTTACTTGTAGGATGGGGAAAAATGTATAAGTTATTAATAAAAATTCATTGTTCAGGAATCCTTGCAATTCCTGAGGCTAGAATCTGGTACTGATACCTTCAGTGACAGACCTCAACTGTAAGACATGATGGTGGCAATTAGACAGGACAATCCTGATACTGTAGGACTGGTCTACCAGCTCCCTGGAGTCTGTTCCTTCCAGGGTCCATCCTGGACCAAACGTCACCTTTCACTTTTGTCCAGAAAAACAGATAGATTCTCCATGCCAAGAACACATTTTAGGGGTTCAGAGATCTGCAGAGTCCATCCTCAGGGGCCAGAAGCACAAGTGTTTCAGATGTTTAGATAATACCACAGCACTATGCTGAGGAGGGGCTAGGGACCAGAAAACTGGATGGAGGGTTTTAGCACTTTCCTATTTTAGGAAAGGCCTGAAAGGACTGCTGGGTCCTGTATTAATACTGAGCAGCTGGTTGAGTGCTGGCTCCTAGGTCTTGGTGACTTGGTCCTTCTCCTAAGTCTGCTGCTTGTTACCCTAGAGAGAGAAACTCCACAAGATGGATTCTATTGGAATCCTCATTAAACTCCTCAAGCAGCTTGATTTAATAAATATTGTAAACTCAGAATCCCTGACAAGCTGTTCTCTGCTCCTGGTGCAGACTTTGCTCCTGCAAAGTGGAAAAATGCCTGCCTCATTCCCAGTGGCGGAGGCTGCTCTGGAGCTCTTGTCTCTCTCACTGGCTGAGCTGGAGCATGCTCTCCCCACTCCAATATGGAGGGATTTCCATGGCAACTGATGCACATGTGGATGGATCTGTGGCTAAATGGCATTGAATTGACCTATTCTCGGGCACAGTGGGGCAGCGTAAATCCACTCACCTTTTCTGTTTCTTGTGATTTTATTTTGTGATTAGATGCCAAATGCTCTTTCTACCTATTGTGACCAATCTTAAGGTCATTAGCCTCTGCCCTAGCTACTATTCACCCATCAGTGAAGAGCCTGTACAGATGGGAAGCCTGCTCAAAGGACATCCTGTTGAAAAAAAATCTGCCACAGGAAGGAACAAAGAGTTAGGTGTTCCTTACTCCATGACACATGGATTCCTGGACACAATGGCAAGTTTAGCCAATCAGAATATAATTTTAGCACATCACAGGACATCTCGAGTATAAATGAGCCATTGGTTAGTATTTGTTCAAGCTCAAGCTCGTTATGTGATTAACTCCTTCATGATCCTGCATCTGAATGAGAACTTTTATTTATACATTATATATTAATATTTAGTTGTTTTTAAGTAAGGCATGTATGCTCTGTTATCTAAAGGTGTCATTTTTTTTTTCAGGTTCCCCTAGTAGACAATGATGTCCCTGACAGAGCTAGAAAAAACCTTCAAGTACTTAGAAAGCTAAGTGTCCATCAAAGTTTTTCATGCTGCATTCAAGATCTTAAAGAACATTGGTTATAGAGATGACAAGAGTTTGCTTGTTTGCTTTCTTTCTTTTTTCTTTTTCTTTTTTTTCTTTTTAATTTAAGGAGCTGAAAACTCCAAGGCAGCTCACTCCATCCCTCAGCGCCTCCATGTAAGATGGAGCTGATATCACCATCTAGGGCACAGATGAGGTGAATGTTTTTGCAAGGGGCCTGACCTATTCACATGGCCAGAACTTCTGCTAACACATTCATTTTATACTGGGACTTAAGGTGAGATTTTAGATTAGACGCTAGGCTTAGTAACCAAAGAAGAACCTTTGGGAGACTTCCTCTCTACGTCTATGTAAAGCATCAGCTTTCTTTTTTGTCAAACTAAACTCTTCCTTTTTATTGACTTGTAAATCTCTCCCAAAGGTGTGCTCTGAGCCATCAACAGACTTTACACTCAGATCTACACAGATGCAGATCTGAAGTGCACCCTTTCGCCTGGAAGTCTTTACTATTCTGGAATTCTCCTGAGAAGTCACAGGTCAGATTCCTAGCCCCCTGACAAAATTTTCACACCCAGCCATTCATCCAGATGATTTATGAATCCATTGAACTAAACAGGAAACAAAACAAAACAACAAACCAAGCTGTCCATAGAAGAAAAAGCTGGCTCACTCAGAGACCATGGGAGATGTCTATACTATTAGTAAACAATCAGTTAACCACCCCACAACTCCAGGGGATGCAGCTCCATCCATCATGCCTTCCTTCAAAACTCATAACCTCTCTTATTACACAAGGAAAGAGGGCAGAACACGGACTTCATCATTTACTTTTCTTCTAATTCAAAGTTCATTAATGTTACAGAGAACAGTTTATTTACCTCCTGCTAAGCTTGCTGAACCTCTGTTTTAAAGTATGAAGAGAGAGAAACACCCAGGAAGGAGTTCCGATCTTGGCCAGCTCTAGAGCTCTTCCTCCTCTGGGCTTATTAATGCATGGAGAAAGTGGGAGCCCGGTTTGTATACAATTTTCTCCAGTATCTGGCACAATGCCTCTGGGCGGTGCTGCAGACACTTGTCAGAGGAAGAGATACTTTGACAACAGTTATCCTTGCCACCTACCTCTTCAGTCAAGGAACTCATATCTGGAAGGACCCCTTGATCAAGGAGGAAATTTTTCTTGCAACTTTGCCATGGGAGCTGTGGAACTGTTGGCAATTCTCACAACCTCACTGAATCTTAGCCTCTTTATAAAATGGGTATGTACGTATGCTTTCTCCATTGTAGCGCTGCAGTTCATGTGTATGTGCTCATGCCTGTGATTATTAAGTGCTAGTGGATATGAAGGCCAGGAATCAACAGTGAGTTGCTTCCTCGACCTCTCTCCATTTTATTTATCTCTTTTGACATTGAGTTTCTCACTATACCTGAGAGTCACTGATTGGATGGCATGCCAGTGAATTTTAGAGACAAGCCTGTCTTTTACACAGGAGCTGGGGATCAAAGGTCAGGTCCTCAAGTGCTATAAGGACTAAGGCATCTCCCCAGACCCCAGATTATGCTTTATTGTAGAGTTATTTTTGTTTGTTTATTGAGAAAGTATGGTTAGAGAATGCTTGCCAAACCAGGCTCTGACCCTATTTTTTTTTTTAGGGTTTTGCCCTAAATCTCTTTGGTTGATGAACATCTCCAAAGGAATAAATGTGTTACAGAGAACCTCTCCAGCCAAGAGTTGGTGGGTCACCTCTGAAGAGCTGGTCTACTTTGGAGGAACATTAGGTGCCTCTAGAAGGGAGACCAGGTATCTGTCAGTGTCACGTCTTGAGTATCTTCACTCTGCTAGACTCTTGTTCAGGAAGGAATGAGGAGCCAGGCCGATGCTGGCATATTTTCTTAGAAACTGTTTTTCTGGAGATTCTTCTCTTCCTCGGAGTCTAGAAGAGCATCTCCCTTCCTTTTGTGTCTCCTGGGCAAAACCTTGTGTGGGAAACATGCCTCCATAGGGCTCAGCCATGGGCTGGCAGGGTATATGGCAAGCTCAATGCTACTTGCTATGTCAAAAAATATTAAAAGGATGAAATCTTTTTTATACTGTAGCTCACATACATACACACACACAAACACACACACATGTGCATGTACATCTATACATATATACTTAGGTACCTATATGTAATATATGTATATGCACATGCATACATATCTGTGTA